AGCATGAGCCGGATCAGAGGAAAGGCAGAGCACTCACGCCCACAGATAAGTGGATAAAGAAACCATCGCACCCACGTGCAGCAAACACTACTCCGTCTTACAAAGGCAGGGGTTCTGACACATGCTGCATGTGGAAGAAGCTACAAGACATTGCGCTGAGTGAAATGAACTAGTCACGGAAGGGCAAATATCATTTTTCTTCATGAGGCTGCCAGGAACTGAGGACGGCCAATGAGGAGATAGTGCTTCATGCTCAGTTTCAATCAGAGATGATGACGAGGGTCTGGAGACGGATGGTGGGGACGCTGCACGACAGTATGAACGTACTCACCACCACAGAGCCATACACTTAAAAACGATAAAGATGATGTATGTTATGTCTATTTTATCACTTTTTTAAAAGTTTTGCTGTAAGGTGCAAGTGCTTTCTGGAGACAGAGAGATAGAGAGACAGAGAAATAAGAGAGAAAAATAGAATCAAAACATGAGCTTATTATAATCACTCCCTCATCTCCCAAGGGGAATGGCCACACAACAATTCCTTCTCTTCCATTCTCTCAGAATTTTTTTTTTTTTTTTTGGAGAGGTTTTTGTTATAGGGCATTGCGCTCGCCAGAGAGACAGACAGAAAGTGAGAATTTACCCCCCTGGGGGGATGGCCACGCCGCAATCCCTTCTCCTCCATTCTCCTCTCGGGATCTTGGGCACGCACGTACATGCGCCCGGCGTGAGTTTAAGCTGCCGGGTCCGGCACTCGAACCGTGGTCAACTACATGGGAGTCCAGTGACACAGCTATTACACTAACTGCTGGTCCCATTCTCTCAGAATTTTGTACACACGCCAGGCATATTTTTGAAACCACCGGGTGTAGGACTTGAACCACAGAGCTGGCTTTGTGCGTCCAGTCGCCTTAACCTCCATACCACCTGGCTGGCCTTATCATAAACTTTTTTTAAAAAACCTCATAACTGATTAAAAAAAGACATAAAATGATGCTATTTCACAAGAATTCATGCATATTTAAGAACACGTCTGAATGAGTGCGTACGGTAGAATGGATGAGGGTGCTGGAATAATGGACAGAGGTTTGCCTTACATGGACTGATGATGTCACCATTTGACGTACAAAAGTAATTTAAAAATTTTGGCACAGGGTATATGTACTTGCCAGAGTGACAGAGAGAGGGAGAAAGAGAAAGCACCCCTTAATGGGGCATGGTCACGCTGTCATCCCTTCTCCTCCACTTCTCCATCCTGTAGGGATTTGGGGCATACAAGCACATCTGCCTGTTTTGTTTTTACTCCCAAGTCACTGGGTCAGGGACTCAAACCACACAGTCGGCCATGTGAGATCAATGTCTCTCAACCACCAGGCCACCAGCTGGCCCCCAAACAATTTTTGAGAATGTATCTACTGGATAACATGAGATGCTACCTATACTATAACAAAAGCTAGTATACCTTTCCTTGCAACACTTAACCCTACAGAGACCATATTACTCACTGTTAGAACTGAAAGATCTAGAAGGCCCTTTATCTAAACTTTTCACTGCACATTAAAGATGCTAAGTAATTCAAAAGTAATTATTATTTTTTGAGAGGTTTTTGCTGTAGGGCGTGTGCACTCGCCAGAAAAACAGAGAGAGACAGACAGACAGAAAGCGAGAAATCACTCCCCAGGGAGGATGGCCACGCACGCACACGTGCCCGGTGTGAGTTTAAGCCACCAGGTCTGGGACTTGAACTGCAGTCGACTACATGGGAGTCCAGCGAAATAGCCATTACGCCAACTGCTGGTCCCAAAATTAATTATTTTCAAAATTATCTGACTCCAAGTAGATTTTATAAAAATTCAGTGTGTCAAAGAGAAATCCTCTAAATAAGAAGATATCTTATATTATAAAGCGTTTAAAGATCCTCGGAGCACCCAAACAATCAGTGTCTCACTTGCAATAAAAATAAAATATAGTTCCATTCTGAGTTTTGTAATGGACTGACTGGGTTGTTGGAAAAGTCATGACATATTTTTTTCTATGTAAACGTGTCATGACTTTTCTGTCAATCCAGTATTCACTCTTACTTGGCTATCTGACTCATCAGCACCTTTCACAGGCCTGCCATTTAGTGGGTGCTCTAATAAACAGAATGTATCCCCTCAAAGACTATTCATCTTTTCTTTATCATGATGCTCTGTCCCAGGGTTCCCCAATCCCCGGTCCATGGACTGGTATGGTCTGTGGTCTGTTAGGAAGAGGGCGGTACTGCAGGGGAATGAGCAGCTCAGTAGGCAGAGGTTCATCTGTGTTTACAGCCTCTCCCCATCATTGGCATTATTGCCTGGGCTCTGCCTCCTGTCAGAATAGCGGAGGGCAGAGGGCAGCTTTAGATTCTCATCAGAGCCCCCGATGTAAAACAAGCTCAGGGGTCCCACTGATTCTGCATGACAGTGAATTGTGTAATTATGTCATTACACATTACTATAATAATAACGGAAAGAAAGTGCACAACAAGTGTAATGCATATGAATTACCCCAAAGACACTGCCTGGTCAGTAGAAGAACTGTCTTCCTCAAAACCAGTGCCTGGTACAAAAAGGTTTGGGACCACTGCTGTATTCCATTCTAGGCACTGTGAAGGTAAACGTCACTCAGACTCTAACACAAAAATAAGGGCGGAGAAGTCACAACTGAAGAGAGCATTTAAACATACAGGAAAGTACAGAAGATTGGTTAAATTCTGTGAAACCAGTAACAGGACAGAATAGGCAAAACAGTAAAATAAAAATCTACACAACAATTAAGACAAATTAAAAAAATCAACGGTCTTATTTCAGTTCATAACGCATACTTATGAATATTTCTCAATTTTTTAATAGCCCAATTCTAGATATATCAATTAACAGTGAATAATTCCAAAGATCTCTAAAGCTAACAACTTAGCCAAAGAGTAGATATTTTATACCATAAGCACAATGAAATCAAGCTTTTTCAATTTAGTTCTTTGTTTCTTATTTAATTCAGAAAAATATCTCAATCTAATGTTGTTCTATTTAGAAGTATTTGTAAGATTAATGAGCTGGTTTCTAAAGAGCATGGTTATGAATGCCATTAAGAAAACTGTTTCCTCTCCAAGTGCTTAGCTACCAGCTATTTTAGAAAACATTCTTATTTCATAGTTAAAACCCCACAATCAAGTAATATTCTTTTTATTTAATGAATAATTTGTCAGTGACATACTACTTTTCAGATCATAGTATCTTGTATTTTATGCAATAGGAGAGATAATAAAATAGTTTTACAAAACTAGAATAAAACAGAAGACTTAAGTTTTACAACCTTATCCGTGACCTTGGGTAAAGTCACTACATATCTGATTAAGAGTACTAACATTTAATATGAAAACAATGCTACTCGAAGCTATTTAAACAGTTAAAGAATAATTTGTGTAAAAATAAGAATTTCATGAACTCTCAAGGCCTATACTAATTGGAAATCAAAGGGTATTATTCATAATATTCACAATATATGACAGCTTTTATAGCTTGTCAGATTTTTAAAGAGACCCTAAATACTATTAACCTTGACATAGAAGATCACATCCTTTTTAAAGCAGAAACATTTTTTTAAAGAATAAGATTGTCTTAATAAAATATTTATGTAGTCTTCTTTATTCAAGGTCAAATGTTTATTATCTGGAAAAAAATGAGACAAAAGTATAAGTTCACTTAAGACTTTCTGACATATAAACACTCAGAGGCACTGTCCCTGATGCAGAAGGGCTTTACAAAGCCACTGCCACCCTTGTTCAGGGAGTGGGGAGGTGTGGCAGGCTGAACCCATAAATATGCATAAAGAGAAGGCATTTAAAACTGTAGTCATCTGAAAACTTACAGTATTAGCCATTTAAGTAAGAACAAAAAGAACTGCAATAAAAAACGCTTTGTATCAAGAGTCTCTGAGTATTCAACAGAAATACATCTAAAAGCAAAGCCATGGTGCTCGCATTTGCCTGTACAGTTTACTTAATGCTATCTAAAAGTGACCACAGGAAGTAAAAAATTACTTGATGTAGATCTTAAGTATGAGGCCTATGAAAAATGTATCACCATAATTTTTCAAAGTAATCTACATTAAAAGTGATTTGCTCTGGAATGACAAAAAAGCTATAGTGACAAAGGAAAAGACCACCATTTGATATGAAATTTATTTTCTCTAAGACTCATGTTAAATCAATGAAATTGAGCATCTCTTTTGGCATGCAGAATCAAAGTCCAATCGCTCACAGCCTGATGATTTTCCTACTTTAAAAAGCTGTATTTCTCTTATTCAGGCCGCAGTGGCAATCCCTGGCTTCTTGTAAACCGGCTGGAGTGTACCCCGGCAACCCAACCGCTGCGCCGGCTCGGCCCCCTGCAGTTGCCTTTCCAGCCTGACAGAGGGAGGAAAGCGCCGCTGCAGTCCTCCGGGAAGAGCCACCCTGCGATCTGCAGCTAACAAAGACACTGCTATCTCGTCGCCACCCCATTCCCAGGGAGCTCACTGACAGGGCTCGCACACGCAGGCACGTCACGGGGACCAGCATTGGGGCCAGCTGAAGACCTCGCTTGGGCTAGCGGCCCCTGCCCCTGCCTCGGCCCGGTCCCCACGTCCCCTGCAGCCCGGTCTGCGAGATGCCAAAAGCGGCCGGGCAGCGCCGTGACTCTTTCGGCCACCACTGCGTGCGTCCTTGGCCAGCGAGGCAAAGCCGCCTCCCTTTCAATGGGCTCGCGCGCCCCTGCTCGCCATGAGATGCCCATTCTTTGTTGTCCTCCACCCGTTTCCCAGACACGGCCACTGCGCCCGCTCTGCCCACAGGCATTACCCCACCACCCCTCGGAGCAGCCTGTCCTCGCCGCACCCCCTCCCCCGGCAGCCTGGCCCGGAGCACAGGAAGTCCACCTCGGTGCTGCAGTGGGGGTGGGGTGGGCTGGGGTGGGGGCGACCATCGCGCCCGCACCTACCCCATCTCCGAGCCCAGCAGCACCTCCATTCCGTCTCCAGTGACACCCAGGCGGGCTGCGCCAATACAGCCACATGCCGGTCACGTGTGCCCGCACTCGGCCAATCAGCAAGCTCCCGACGGGAGCCGGGAGCGCCCGGGTCCGCACCCAGCAGATTTCACAGCCGCTTCCCGCTCCGTGTCCAGCCCGCACTCGGCGACAGGGCCCGCCGCCAGCCCTGCTGGTGCACCGCCCCGCGCCAACGCCAGCCCTGCCAGCCCCGCGGGTGCAACGCCCTGTGCCAACACCAGCCCTGCCAGTGCACCGCCCGGCACCAACGCTAGCCCTGCCAGCCCCGCAGGTGCACGGTGTACTGCGCACCGCCGCAGCTCCTCTCCCGGCCGCTGCGGAAGCAGACCGGCTGACAGGCAGAACAGGGCAGGGCAGGGCAGGACAGGGGCGTCGGCAGGGCAGCGCTCCGGCGATGCTGCGGAGGGAGCGCGAGCGCGGGCTACGATGTACACGTGTGCAGCTACCAGACGTGCTACCAGATGGATCTCAGCGCACCACGGAAAATAGACCTGCTGCGCGAGGGGCTGGAACCATGTCTGAATTAAAAGTACAGTCACCAGAAAGGCTGGGAGGGGGGCACTGCTCAAGAGTGGAGGTTAGAGCTCCAAAGGCACGAGGCTGGAACCTTCACTGCTGCTATCCTACCCTGACTTCCATCACACTCTGAGTTTCCAAGTCCTCCTCCATGGAATGAAGTTGTCCATACCTACGAAGCGGTATTTGCAGCAGGGCCCGATAGAGAGCTGTTGGCCACGACTAATCTGGCAATGTTTTTTAAATATTTATTTATTAAAAAACATGGAATGTTTTTTTAAATATTTATTTATTATTTTCCAAATGTGACCAGAGAGGGAAACTGAGAAAGCAAGCCACCATGTCTTGGACCCAAACTGGAGTCGGCCATGTGGGAGTCCAGTACCCCAACCACCAGGCCACCTGTTTTTGTATTTATTTATTTTTTTAATTTGTCAGAGGGCTCATGCACTTGCCTAGAAAAACATAAAGTGAGAAAGCGCCCCCCATGGGAGATGATCACAACAACAATCCCTTCTCTTCCATTTCTCTTTCCTTTCGGGACGTAGGGCATAAGTGTTTTCAAGCCACCAGATCTGGGACTCCAACTGCAGTCAGCCATCTGGGATCCTGCTGCTTTAACTACCACAACACCAGCTGGCTCAAATTACTACTTTTATGAGTTAAAAGGGCAAAATTCAAACAGCGAGATTTAAGGTTAGATTTAGGTTTTGTTTTATATAGGGGAAAACCCACTGTTCTCATCATCTATTCTCACTGTTGTCAGGGCACACGTGCACTTGTCAGAGACAGGAGGAGAGGAGGAAGTCTCTCACCAGGATGGCCACACTGTGATCACTGTTCCTCATCTCCCGCTCCTTTCAGGACTCTGGTATGCATGTCCAAGCACCCCCTGTGTTTCTCAAGCTGCCAGGTCTGAGCCTAGAGCCATGTGTGAGCCATGTGGGATTTGGCTGCCTTAAGTATGAGAGCACAGAGTTGGCCCCATTATTTATTTAAAATGTAAAACGAAAGCTTCAAACTTTTAAGTGCAGTATATCTGTTATAATCTTTTAAAATTAATAGTATGTAACGAAGTTACAAAATAGCATATCTGAAGCAATTCCATTGTATTTAAAATTGTGTGGCGCCAGGCCACAGTGTGGTAGTTGAAGCACCCAGACTTGGGAATATGGCTGAGATCTGGACCTGGAGGCTTGAGAAAAACACTAGGCACATGTGCATGTGTGCCCAAAATCCCCAAAGGAGGGAGAGATGGAGAAGGGATTGCAGTGATCATTCCCCATGAGAGGTGCTTTCTCACGCACTCTCTCTCTGGCAAGCAATCAATCAATAAAGTGAAAAAAATGAAACCGGTGTATAATAATAGAGTAACAGATACACAACGAAATGTTCTGAGGTCATCCTTGGAAGGTGAGATTATGGGATTTCTGCTTTTCTGCTGTGCTTTTTCATTTCTTCCTCTTTATTAACCTCTGTGTTATAATGCCTGATACATAGCAAATGTGCCCCTAAAATGTGTTGAATGAACAAGTAGGTGACTTCTACAATGACCACATATTAGTGTAATTAGTAATCAGAAAAATTATACATTAAAACTAAATAGATTTAGAAACAATTTCCCTTCATTGTTAAAGTAAAAGAAACAAGTCTATCCTGAACATCTCCTTTTATGAGAATGATGACTTAGTTTTATGAAAGGCTTTCGATATCCTCTAACTGAGAGTGCATGAGTCACTGCACAGAACTTATATAGTCATTATCTGTGACAAATTCAGAATAGATCATTTCTTATAAGGCCTACAACTTCCAGAAAGAAAACAAAGAATACATTTTAAAAGCTCCCCAAAATAACTTATGAGATCCCTGAAAAACAACTGTTAAGTCTATTACTCTTGACTCAGACTGTGATTCAAGCCATTTAACACACCAGTTTTTAACCAAAATAATTCGTCTACATTTTTACTACGTGCATTGTAGAAATCAGTGATTCGAGTGACAAAGTTTTAAAGAAAGCTAGGACCATTATATGTTCAGTGACCACTACGTTTAAAGTATAAAAGCAAGTCAGTCTTAAAACTTTAAATTTTATAATGTTGCCAATTGAATTATTCAGTAAGATTTTTCAAGCCAGTTTCCTCAGGAATTCTACAAAAGTTTGAGTTAGTTTGAGTTAGATTGTTTTCTCTTCTTTTTTTTCCTTTTAAAGGAATATTTATTTAATTCCATTTGTTAGTGTTATTTTTAAATTTGACCAGAGAGGGAAAGCGAGAAAGCAAGCCACCAGGTCCAGGACTTGAAGCGTGGTCAGCCACGTGGGAGTCCAGCGCCCTTATCCATCACACCACCTGCCAGCCCCTATTTTCAAAATATACTTAGCTGCTTTTAAAACTATAATTAAAAACATATACAATCAAAATACACTGGGCCCAAGTGGAGCTCAGTGGAGCTCATGGAGGCACTGACTGGTCACCAGGATGGTAACCTATATCAGAGCGAAACTCACCAACCCTGTTCGATTCTGGTTTGTTTTTGCTTTTAAAGGTGTGCACTCACCATAAAGAGACAGAGAGACAGAGAAGGGGAGGTGAGACATTGTCCCCTAGGAGGGGTGGCTGTGCCCTAGTCCCTTCTCCATTCTCCTCTCGGGATTTTGGGCACACATACATAAGCATCCAGCATGGTTTTAAAGCCGCTGGGTCTGGGTTCAAACCCCACTTGGCTATGTGGGAGTCCAGTGCCTTAACCACCTTGCCACCTACTGGCTCCTCACCATTCTTGATTAATCAAACATGTTAGCATTTACATAACATACACACATAATAAAATATTTTCCGATCAAAATACAGAAATAAATCAATAAATTGAGTTAAAGCTGTTTTCAGACTGCACTGACACACATGCTCCTGATTTCAAATGTCAGTGTGTGTTACGACCACCTTCATCGTCTTTGGAAATGGCTTCGCAAATCATCATTATCATAAAAACACACAATTCACCTTAATATCGACCAACCAACCAAAAAACCCTTCTCAACATTCTGTGCCTAAAATAAATGACCAAATAGAATAGAATTCTTAATGTCTTCAATTTTGTTTTATTTTTTCATAGATCGGGTTGTCCTAATTTAGGAATTGTGATTAAAAAATCGAGGCTATAAAGTCAGACTTGAGTTCATGTATACGTATGTGTCAGCTTCGATAACTATTGGATATATTTAGACTAATTAAGTTCACTGACAGATCATTTGGGGAGGGGAGAGGCACGGAGGGCAATCGTGGATGCCAGAGACAATGTGGGAGGAGGATGGGTCATAACAGAGGGAGGGGGATGGGGAATCTAGGATGGTAAAACAAAAGGCAAGGTATGCAGGACACAAGAATTGGGAAATCATTTGCTGAGAACATATATGTTGACGTGCTTGATTGAGCCAATGCACAGTGTATTTTGGATGGAAAATTCATTTGTGTGTTGTGATGGGGAAAAAAAATTATAATAAAAAATAAACTATAAAAAAAATCGAGGCTATGGTAACAACATTAACTAGTGTAAAATGAGTTAAAATTAGGGATCTTTCTTCAGCGGTCTTGACTTCTGTGCTTTTACTGATAAACTCTACTGAACACCTCACACACAGAACAGATTTGTGTCTTATTAAAGAGATCAGTAAGCTTTTCTTAATATTACGTGTGGGAGGCTGTGCACCAGCGAGTCTGCCAAGGTTCCTCAGAGAGCAAACAATTGCCATGATTGGTTACCTTCGAAAAACCTGACCTTCGAAACTTTGCTCTGATAGGCCACTAGAATCCCTCAAATTTGCATATCTGGCCCCCCAGTGTGGGCCCAAAAGCAACCAATCATAACCCACCATTTACAACCAATCACGGCCCACCGTTTACAACCCACCAGCGTGTATATAACCACGAAGCCTGGCCCACAGTAGCCAGACGACCAGGAAGACGACACAGATGACCAGGAAGAAGACAACGACCAGGAGAGCCTGAAGAGCTGAAACACCACATAGTCTCCAGACGAGCCTGGAGAGCTGTGGCACTGCGTCGTCTCTGTGCTGCTCACAGTAGACGACGTGACCCTTAAGAGTTGTAACACTGTGTCATCTCTGTGCTGTACCATGCTGCCCACAATAAACAGACGACACTGAAGACACGGTGTCGTCTCCGTGCTGTAACACTATGCGCTTGTAATACTATGCCGCTTGTCCCGGCTCTCCTTCACTCAGGAAACCTGTTCAACTGCCCCCCCCCCCCGGGGGG